AAATGCAGATCAAAACAAGGAGATACCACCTAACTCCAGTCAGAATGGTGAAGATTAAAAAAAAAATGATAAATGTTGGCAGAGGTGTGGTGAAAGGGAAACACTCTTACACTGCTTGTGGGAAGGTAAATTAGTCCAACCACTATGGAGGACAATTTGGAGATTCCTCAAAAATGTACAAATAGAACTGCCATATGATCCAGCAATCCCATTTCTTGGCATCTACCCAAAGGACAGAAGAATTCTTCATTGGAAAAGTGCTTGCACATCAATGTTTATTGCAGCACTTTTCACAATTGCTAAGACATGGAACCAACCCAAATACCCCCATACAGATGAATGGATTGAAAAACTATGGCACACATACTCTATGGAATACTATTCAGCCATAAATAAAACCCTGGCTTTTGACAAAAAGTGGAAGAATACGGAAGATTTACTGCTGAGTGACGCAAGCCAGGCTATGAAGGAGAGAAACTGTATGTCCCCACTTAATATATACCGAGTGCCTGCACTCTATAACTGAAACTGACAGGCTAAAGGACATACAAACACAAGAGATGGATGTGAATGCCAGATGTGGTGAGGGTGGAGGAGTGGGGACTGGGGAAAAACATTTGGAGGAGGAATACAAAAACAGCATTATTGAGACAGGGAAGTAGTGTTGTTATATTTTGATCAATTGGACAGGGGAGAAAAGTTCACATATTGAAATGATCACTTTTAAGCTAAATAATGTGATTGAATGTATTAAAAAATATAAATAAAAATAAATAAATAAACAAATTTTTTAAAAAAAGAAGTTAAATACCTCCACAAGGAAAATTGCAAGAAGATAAAAAAAGAAATTGAAAATGACACAAAAAAGTGGAACAATATCTCATGTTCCCAAATTGGAAGAATTAATGTAATCAAAATGGCAATTCTACCAAAATTAATCTACATATTTAATGCAATGTCAATCAATGTACCAGATACATTATTCACAGATCTCAGAAAGAAGATCATAAAGTTTGTCTAGAGTCTTAAAAGACCTGTATTTCCAAAGCTATTCTGCACAACAAGAGTGGAGTGGGCGGCATCTCACTCCCTGACCCAAAAATATACTACAAAGCTGTGATAATCAAAACAGCATAGTACTGGAACAGAAACAGACAGGTGGACCAATGGAACAGAATAGAGTCTCCAGAAATAAATTCCCAAACATATAGTCAACTGATTTTGGACAAGAGATACCAGTCAATCCAGTGGGAAAAAGAAAACCCCTTCAGCAAATGGTGCTAGCAAAACTGGATTTCAACTTGCAGAAAGATGAATCTGAACCCCTACCTCTCACCTCTGACAAAAATAAAGTCAAGGTAGATCAAATATCTAAATCTAGGGGTCATCCGGTGGCATGGTGGTTAAGGTGCTAGACAATCCCACATAGACAACCACAGTTTAAGTCTCGGACCTGGTGGCTTGCTTTCTCACTTTCTTTTTCTCTGTGTGCCTGTCTTTCTCTGGTCAAAGTAAAAAATAAATGAATGAATAAATAAAATTAAATAAATAATTTAATAAAATATATCTAAATCTAAGACCCCAAACTATAAAACTGCTCCTGGAAAACACTGGGGAAACTCTGGGAGGCATTGGGGTAGGGAAAAGACTTCTTAAATAAGACCTCCAACACACAGTCAATATTCCCCAAAATAAAAAATGGGATTACATTCGACTAAGAAGTTTCTGCATGGCAAAAGACATAGTATTTAGTGTGAATAGACAGCCCACAGAATGAGAAAATATTTTTGTAAACTATGCATCAGATAAGGCACTGATAACCAGAATTCACAAGGAACTCAAGCATCTGTTCTGGAAAAAAACAATCAATCCTATTAAAAGATGGGAGAATGAGTTGAAAAAACCACTCAAATAAAAGGCATATAAAAAATGCTCATCATCCCTCATTGTAAGGGAAATACAGATCAAAACAATGAGATACCACCTAACCCCAGTCAGAATGACTAAGATTTAAAAAACAAAAAAATGATAAGTGCTGGCAGGGGTGTGATGAAAGTGGAACTCTCTTACACTGCTGA